CTATAAATAGAGAACTACGGCAGATATGTAATATTTAACGTGTATTACAATGCCGTTATGTGATGACTTTCAAAGAGAAAAGCAAGCACACTCGGAATAAAGTATTATTTTAATTTTTTTAAATGTTTTCGGTCTATTTGTTAATGACGATGTGATGTGAGATGTGAGACTGGAATTGCACAGGGGAAAATAACGTATCTTTAGATGCGGATTTTGTTAAACTAATACGTTTGCACTGTGGAACAACACTATACATTGACGGGGAAGGGGGTAGCAATAAAGATAACACCATTAAACAGCTACACAACATAACAGAAATAATATAGATAGCAGCGTCCCTAGCAACCACCTTGGTAACAATGAAAACGTTGTATGGACACAATTTCCTGAAGTAATCTTCGTAATAACTGGCAACTAAAGATCATGTGCATCCACTGCACACATAATCTGAAATAACAACTCATATTTCTCGCATCAAATGACATCAAAACGCATTTTAATGGCCAAACTAACTTCAAAAGAGGCATTTTCCACCGAGAATAAAACGAAGTACGGCCATGTTTTTTTTTCTGCAGGGAGAAATGTGAAGATCACGTGAAATTGACGCCAGCCATTGGAATGAATGGTGAACAAAAACGTAGGGATCTTGCAATTTCAGAGGCGTTTTTGTAGAAATACTACGTCCTACGTTGTGGACCAACGTAGTTATTACACGTTTTTTTGTGAGACTGGGTTGGCTGAGAGGATTTCATATCAAAATTATTACCTGAGAACTTAATTAAGATGAAGTACTGTGAGAAGTTGATAAGGGTGAAGCTGCTAAAATCAGGAAGTCACCACTGTTACTTAATACTATTGCTTTCAACTAACCTAATTTGTTGACAAAATACACTTAATTAAAGTTAACGTTTCCATTTTTTTAATGCACACTTTTGCTTACCTATGGGTTTGCCGAATTACAGAAGATGTTTGGACAGCCTGGAGCCTCGTTGTTTTTTTCCAAACAAATTTAACTGAGTTTTTCTAAAACAGGCACCAGCTCAGACGGATAGAGAGCTGCTGACTGGGATCCCTTTAATATATAACCGATAGTGTATTTTTCATGCTTTCCCACTGATGGGCCACCTTCATTCAAAGGGTAACTTAAGTTTAATAAAGGGTATTAAAGTCACTATAACATGTTATTAGAATTGTTACATCAACAATGCATAATAATGTGAAAGTGCTTTAATGCTGTAGTAAGTCGACTTGAAGCTAATTCAACTTAATATTAAGATTTCAGAAGGATATCTTTTGCCCATTTTCCTAATTTGCAATCTTATTGGTTCTTGTAAAAAGTAAGATTAAAAAGTAGCCTACAATGTGCCTTTCAAGTGTAGTGAAGGAGAAGTACCTTACATTCTGTAATGTATTATGTCACCAAGTTTCACATAACTCTATCAGGTTAGTTGAAAGCAATATTATTAAGTTTAAATGAAAAATATTGGGTTCAACTTAATATTATTGCTTTGAACTAACCTTATACAGTTATGTGACATTTGTTGACATAATACATTTAATTAAAGGTCTCCTATCATGCAAAATGCACTTTTGTATGTCTTTTATACATAAATGTGTCCCCGGTGTCAGAGGAACTCACAAAGTGTCAGACAGTAAAACCCTCTCTCTTTTCCTCCTTACCCACATCTCTAAAAACGGGGGTACAACGGAGCTGATCCAGATTTGCTGCCAATATCACGTAATATTGGAAATGTGGGCTGGCTTTACACCCACGGCCCTATCAGAAACATCGCTATCAGAAACCATTTGCGACGTAATATGATCTTTGTTTACATTAGCAAGCATCGCTAACACTCAGAGCTAACGCTGTACTGGAGAGAGTGTAAAAAAGCAGGAAATAAAAAGGAACTCAACTTGTGGTAAACCTGCAAGAGAAAAAGCATTTGAGCTCCTTACTGTTTCAGAAATAATCCTTGTGGGGGAAACTTCTGAACCAATTGGAAAAATGACTCAGAGAGCTGGAGCTTTAATGGCAAACACTGACGGTTTATTTAGAGCTTCGGCCGGAGAATTCACAAGACATGTCACGGGCCTATGCCATGGGAAAGGAGACAGTGAAAAAAGGAAAATTATGAACTGTGTCAAAGGTTGAATACCTAAGCAAATTATTCCCCAACAATCCTTGATGTGGTTTGGAACATGATATGGCGTTTAATCACGGCAGCAGACAAGAGCAGACAAGAGCAGAGTATCTGGGTAGTACCCAGAATCAGTTCTTTAGTAACAGGGCTGAAATAGAGGGGTATGAGGCATGGCTAGAATGGGTGATCTGTTTGGTATTTTGAGTAAAACACTTCAAAGACATGTTTTTATATATTTTATATCTGAGACCTATAATGTATGCCTAAAAATAGTATAATAGGATACCTTTAAAGTCAATTTTTCAGTTTTTTCAGTGCAGACAGCATTTTCTATGTTGTTGTCTGTTGATGTAGAGCTTCCTTAACTCACTGTTATACATTTCGTTAACTCACCATTGTTGTTAATGCTATGTTCTTAATTTGAAGTCAGAGTAGCTGTCAGAAATATGTAGATAAACACCATTACTGTGGCATTTGACTGAAGTGTAGTACTTAGTTCTTGAGTCCACACCACTTATTCCCTAAAAATCAAGTGATATTCTCTTGTTTTTTCCATTGTTCACAGGACCTGGTGGGCCTCTCACACTTTGGAGGCTTTCTGCTTTATCCCTACTCCAGCTTCCCTGCAGCCTCAGCCCATTACCTCCTCCCATCAGTGCAGTCCAGGGTGGATCTCAGAGCATATCCAAGCATCCACACTCAGGATTACATCCCCTCTCCTATGATGTCTTCCTTTGTTCCTGCTTTGGGTGGTGGTAGATTGAAATATCTCGCCCCCAATTTGCTTATGCTACCCAAAACAGACCAGGACTCAGTAGAGGACGCTGAAACTGACTGCAATCAAGACGAGTCGCAAACAGGGTGAAAGTACTGAGAGCAGTTACTGCTGACTTAAAGTGTCCCTGCATGTTCAGAATCCAAAGGCTGTTCACTTGCTATGATAGTACATCAAGTATTGGTAAAGTACTGTAAATTGTGTTGTAAAAACCCGATAGTGTGTATTGGTGAAGTTTCATTGTGGGTGGATAAAGCTCAACCTTTAACCTTAGCTTAACTCGCATTTACTTGAAAAGGAACAACTTCCACAGGACTCCAATAAAAAATAAAGCTAAAACTAAGTATTTTTTTCGACTGAAATACAAATATTTACAGCATCGTACAAAAAATGGTTTTGGTCGGTGAATTTCCTTATTAAAAGCCTACAGGAAAGTTCCAACACCTGCATGTTCATCGAAGGGCCACTTGAGGCTTGCTCCAAAAGGAAGGCAGCCCTCGTGTTAAAATGCCGACTGTAGAGCAGAAATGATAATGTTTGCTGCCTCCTACAAAATGTTTTAACTAAAGTTTCATGATGTAGTATGTGCCGCTGTGAAGGGAACGTGAGAGGCAGGCTGCACCACTGTGTTGATGGTCGGTGAATTCTCTGTGTTGGCCATGTTGTTTTGTGGATTCTGTTTAATTTGCTGCATGACGAGATGATCGTGTGGTTGTTGTTGTTTGTGAATACAAAGGGTATGAGTTGTGGGGGTCTGTCAGGTTGGGTGTGTGGTTTGCAGAAGATTTTGGGAGGGAGCTCCTGTTCCAGAGCAGGACTGATTGGGTTAAGGTTTAGCGTTGACATGGCAACCTATAGTTGGGATCAGCAGGCAGAGTTGCAGTCGTAAACGCTTCTCTGCCCTTCCATTAGGGCAGTATATTCCACTAAAAACCCCAACAAACTCATTATTTCCTTATATTTGTTAGGAAAAAGTACACCAAGCTGTTTTTGGAAAGAACTAGTAGAGCTGTACATAATAGTTTTATACTTTTTCATTGTGTTCAAACTGAGTTTCATTGCACAGATGACACTAAAGATTAAACTTATACTAGAATTACCTTCCAATGGTGGCTGCTTAGCATTGTTTCCAATAGGAGTGATCCATACATTTCCAATAACCCCAGAGCGTCACAAAGTCCAAAGACAACTTTGGAAATGTTTTGTATCTATTTCGTCCCTACTGACCGCTGATCATATTCTGCTCATTTTCAAAATAAGAAACATGGCGTCCAGCTATTGTGTTAGAGCGCTAGCAAATAGAAGCACAAGTTTTACATAGTGATATCATTATGTAACGGATGTAAACTAAATTCCAAAGGAGGCTTCTCAGGCAGGGAGAGAAACTCCGTCTGGAGGGAACACAGGGATTAGTCTTTACGGAGCATTCATTTGCACAAAAACATATAGAACACACTACAGGAAAGTATAAAAACCCAAATAGCATAATAGGGCCCCTTTAATAGAAGTAAAAGAAGTACAGCGCTAGACGCAAAATATTTGTGGTTTTAAGGTTTTACGTCTTTAGTGGGAATATGTTATGTTCAGATGTTCTGCTGGAACACCTCTCTGTCGTCCCAGTTAGTGTCGCTAAGCAGCCAAGCACCTCAGAACTGCAACAGCTGCTGTCGACCTGTCGAAGGAGAGGCTGAGAGACAGACAGACACACAGACAGACAGACACACAACACACAGAAAGACACACAACAGACAGACAGACAGACAGACAGACAGACAGACAGACAGACAGACAGACAGACAGACACACAACACACAGACAGACATACAGACAGACAGACACACAGACAGACAGACACACAACACACAGACAGACAGACAGACATACAGACAGACACACAGACAGGTGAGTGTCTTCAGAAAGGACAGTTTATCTTCAGTTCAGGTGAGTGTCAGCAGGTAAACACACCTGCAGGTCTCCGTGGCAGCAGCTGTCCATCAGCTTCAGACAGAGGGACGTCTCACCCATCAGCTTCTGTCTCACTGAATCACTGAGCTGACCGTCTGAGGACACAGCAACCAGCAACTTCAACAGGCAACGCAGCAACACAGCAACACGACACGCCATACTGAGAGAGACCGGCAAAGAGAGAAGGGACCAATACGTTAACAAGAAGATATAATCTCAGGGGTTCCCAAACTTTGCCATGCCAAGGACCCCCATATAGCATTATCCTCTGGCAGGGACCCCCCTGATGCAATTTGTTTTTTTAATGATGAGTACATTATGATG